ATCACTCACGTGATTGGCTTGCTGGGCACCTATGACTAGCACTGCTCCTGCAGGCAGGCACATCAGGTAACGCTAAACTTACCTATAAATACCCCAAAGTTCTAAATGAAAAGGAGGACACTTCTTCACTAAAAAACTCATTCCACATGAGCTAATTTGATCGTCGGAGGGGTCGGGCCGAGCTTCCGACCCAACATGTGTGCAGGTACAAGGGCGAGGTTGCATCTTCCCAACGCCGCGGAAAAGCTTCACTCCCCACGCAACGTCCCACCCAGACCATCGTAATCGACCACACCAGCTGTCCCGAGGAACGCCGCGCAAGATCCCAACGCATTCGGACCCGAACCAAGCCGCTTCGACCCCGAGGCCATGACATAAAGTTGTTTGCACTAACACGTATGATTAGAGATCAAACGCCGTTAAGGCTCTTTCGAGAGATTGTTCCAAGTTCCCGGTGAGAACTTGGAACGAAGGAGTCTCGGTCAAAGTACATAGTGACCCTCCAAAACATGGCAACAGAAAGTTCCCACTAGTTTTTGTTGCAGAGGGTGCTTTCCTCGCCCTCCTCTTCTGCGCCTATAAGAAACAGGAGGAGAAACCACAGTGACCGCAGAGTACCTCCTCAGCCTCCTCGCACTGTAACGATCATTAGAAATGAGCAATGGGGACTGAAGGAGAAGTTTTCTTTTCCTCCTCCTGCTCTTTCTTCTCTCTCCCCTGCTTCCAAGCCATGCTTTGGTAAAAAAGATAGGCGTAAAGACGGAGTTTTGTTCTTGAAATCTCGTCTTCTGATGGATTTGCTTCGAGATCTTTACGTGCCATTTTTATTCGTTTCATTCCTAAGTCTTATGTTGTCTACCTCGAAGGCATGCCCACAGCTGAGAGGAGGCCTCACTGCTCGCTCACGAGCGAGTCGTGGCCTCCCACTACGAGTTCCTCGGCTCATTCTTAGGGAGTTCAGATGTCGCTCAAGATTCTTCGGTTTCTGCTAATCTGGAGGAGGAAGACGCGACGGTAATCTTTTCAAGATTATTAATGTCCAATAATATCATTTAGCCACCTGAATTCTATCTTAATCAATCTAATTGAACTTATTTTAGTAAGACTTAACTAAACTGATATGTAATCATCATTAATCGGTTTAGAATTATCGAGAAAATTTAGATTAGA